CTGAGGAGTAAGGAGAGCATGCTATTCTTGACCACGCAGGCCCGCACGTGCACTGGGATTCTGGCCACCACAGCTGGGAACCTGCACGACTCGTACGACATGGGCGTCCCACCGTCCCAAAACTGGAACTTCTCGATCACCGTCTCGCACTCGACCAGCTCTTCAAGCCCGAGCTCCTTCAACACCTCTAGGTAGGCCTCCCACCAGACGTCGCCCATGACAGACATGACGCACGCCGTGTTCACCACGCCCCTGAGGTAAACCTTGACCAGCCTCATCAGCTGGCTCCTGACAACCTCTTCCTCGATCTTGGATAAGGGGATCCCGACCGAGTGGGCCGCGAGGGCCTCGCGGGCAGAGTGCGAGTCCGCGTCGCCGGTCTCCGTGATCCAAGCACCTCGTTCAGCTGGGGCCTTGCGCTCGGGATTGCCCGCCCAGTGGCCAATCTTGCCGCGGGCCTTTCCGGCGGAGTTCTTCTTGCGTGCCTTTGGCCTGTCAGAGAGGAGGTCGCGGCCTTCGCCCGTCTTGACGCCGTTGCTGGAAGGCCTTGGCGGAAGATGAGCTCCACGACCCTTGCCACAACCGTCTCGGCCCTTGCCGCGGCCGCCCTTGCTGCTGAGCTTGTCGCGGGCGTCGCGTATGACTTCGATCGCTTCTGGGAGCTGCGACACCTGGGGCGCCGCCTCGAGCCGTGTTCTGCTCGGCCGGGAGGTCGACCTGGGACTCCGCCGCGAGCGCCTCGAGCTCGTGCCTCATGAACCCCTGGGCGTCGCTGACTGTCGACCTCGGCCTCGTCGTATTCCTCGTCGTCGCCCTGGTTCTCCTCCTCTGGTTCGTCACGACTGCTGCGCTCCGTGGCCAGGGCGTCCTTCGACGAGCCTCCTTGATGCCCCCCTCGGTGCTGCTGGCCCCGACAGCGGCCGCGCCCCTGGGGAGACCGGGGGGGCAGCCTGCGCGACTCATTCACATGCAGGTCGGGGTGGAGCCTGACCACGATCTTCTCTACATCGGTGAACTGCTACTTTTCGTCCGGGAGCGCCGCCACAACCTCCTCGCGCCTCCCGGCGCTCGGATTGCGCTTTTTTCAGGAAACGCCAGCCGAGAGCGTCGTCTTGGTCTGCGAGCTACACGCCGTCGTCCTCCAGCCGCTGGAGGCCCTCCTCGAACCCTGGAATGAAGTCCGTGATCCTCTCGCCGCTCCTCCGATTGTGCCTCTGCGACTCGAAGAACTCTCCCGTGGGCTCTCTGCGTCGGACCGCCTGCTGCGGATGGAATGCAGCCTCCAGCGCTGACAGCGCATTGTTGATGTCTCGCATGCTCTCGGTGGCCTGTCTTTCTCATGTGATGTTCCCGTCCTCGTCTTGCTCCTCGTCGTCTGCGGGGGCTGCTTGCAAGTCTTTTCTCGGGATGCGGAGACCGACGCGCCTCGCGGCGCCCTTCAGCTTCGAGACGAGACGGGCAGCCACGCAGTAGTGGACGTCGAGGTTAGCGCCCAGCGCCCAGATCTCGACGTCGCCCTTGCAGCGTCTCCAGTCCTGCGGCGCTCCGTCCCCGACCCGGATGAGAGAATTGCCGTCGCCGCCGCCTTGGAGCGTTCCTTCCGCCATCGCGTGCAGACGCTTGCCGAACGCGATCACCTGGGAGAAGATGATGCTGAGCTTCAGCGCGAAACCGGCGACGGGGCTACGCCGCAGCCCTGCCCTGCACGCTGTCTGCAGGAGTGCCCGCCGCAGGCGGGCTGCCGTGGATCGCCAGCCACGCCGGCTCCGCCACCACTGGCGGAGGCCGCGCAGCGGCAGGATGAGATTCCGCCAGTCCAGGCCTCAGCGGAGGCCCGCGCACATTTGTCGCCCGGCTCGGGCGGAGACCGTAAATGGTCAAGGGCCCTGAGGGCCAAACAGGAGCGGTGGGGAACAGGCTGGGTGAGAGGGCAGGCCAGCGGGGGAGGAAGGAAGTAGGTGGTAGGGATATTGGCGGGCCCCGACTCTCTAACCCCATACGGGCTCACCCTTCGAATGCTTCATGGCCCCATGAGGAAATCCCCGTAAGGCGATGCCCGCAACGACGGCCAGTGCAATTGCAGATGGTTGGGTCCTTAACCAGGATATTTGTTGGATTTTTTTCCGTTTTGGAAAGTCGTGGTGAACATGTTTTCCCAAGCATGCTGTGGTCTTGGGTCCTTGTTTTGAAGAGAAAGTGCCCCGCGTCTCCTCCTCTCCACTCCTCCTCCCCCTTCTCCCTCTTGCCCCTCCTGGCTTTGCCCTCCGCATGTTTCTGTTTCGGCATACCCAGTGCAGCGCTTCGTGGCCCCATAGGGAGCTCCATGGAAGGCTCCAGTGCCAGAGTCCACATGGCGGCGCCGCCCCATTTTGGCGCATCCCTCACACGGTTCGTGGCCCCAAAGGGAGCTCCACCGAAGGCCCCAGTAGCAGGGTCCACTTGGCGACGCCGCTCCAGTTTGGCGCACCCCTCGCACGGTTCGTGGCCTCATAGAGAGCTCCACCGAAGGCCCAGGTGGCAGGGTTCACTTGGCGGCGCCGCCCCATTTTGGCGCACCCCTCGCACGCTTCGTGGCCTGCTAGAGACTTCCATCGAAGGCCCAGGTGGCAGGGTCCACATGGCGGCGCCGGTCCATTTTGGCGCACCCCTCACGCGGTTCGTGGCCCCATAGGGAGCTCAACCGAGGCCCCAGTGGCAGGGTCCACATGGCGGCGCCGCCCCATTTTGGCGCACCCCAGTTCGTGGCCCCATCGGAGCTCCACCGAAAGCGGCGCCACAACACGGTATTCATTTAACCCTGGGAAGCAATCAGTAAACCTCCTTTCGCCCCCCTTCATCACAAGAAATTATAACGCTTCCGGCACCAGGACCGTGGCGGAAGCGATATCACCCGCAGGTCACCAGAGGTGCGCGAGTTCTCAGGCCCCGAGTTCTCAGGAGGCATCCAGAAAGGCCTTCACCAGCCTCTGAATGCGCGGTTCCCTTGGGCCCTGCTTTCACGCCGCAATTTTTGGCAAGCGTGCTGCCCAGTCCCCTTCCCCATTTTCCCCTTCCCTCCGCCTCCTCCTCCTCCTCCTCCTCCTCCTCTTCCTCCTCCTACTCCTCTCTTTTTCGCTTTTTGGAATCCGTGGCGAATGTGTCGCGGCATTAGTTCTTCATGCTGTCGCCTCACGTTGCCGCCAGCTTCGGGCTGGGGGGGGGGTGCGAAACTAATTTTCAGCCGGGTCTGTCCCTCTACAGGAGGAATGTTCAAACATAGCAATAAAATAGTATGGGAGCGACTTTTCGAGTATTTTTGATGATTTTTATTTTTTGTTTTTTACCAAATTCGCCTGTAGGGGGTCACGCCCGACTTGAAACTATTTCTAGATTTTATTGTTTCGTTATGTGCTAACGGCATTGCTGGAGGGCGCCGCCGAACATAATCATTAGTTTCATTTAAGTGTAAACGATGTCGCAGGGGGGGGTGCTGTCGCTTCTTGCTTCCGAGGGTCAGGTTATGAACCTCGTCGTTGTCCTTATCCCAAGTTTTTCTTGGCTTCGGCCGTGGCGCTCGCTGCCACCAGTTTCTGTAGTTTTGCTTTGCTGCCGATGATTCCAGCTGTCCCTGGCGCTGCCTTCCGTTGCCGCTTGATTGCTGTTTGGGCATTGTCCCCGACTACCCGCGACTGTTCCCGACCCTGCCGCCCATTTGCTTGGTTCGTTCTTATCCCCGACAGTGCGACTGTCCCCGCCCTTGGGACAATACGGTTTCCGTTTGTGTGTAGATATATAGTCCACGTGGTAGTTTCATGTTGCTATTCGGTCATTCGCACTGCAGATGCGTCCGGCCAGCGCATCAGCAAGACACCGCGCCCATGCATGGACGGGTATTGCTGCGTCTCGAAGGTCGGATCGCAGGTTAGCTTTGCACCCGTGGTGTGCGAGGATGAACGACAAGTCAGAGGAGTGGTAGTAGGTGAGGGGAGGGAAGGACAGGGGGAAGGGCGGGGAAGGGGAGGATATCATCATCACAAGAACCCTAAATCTGAAAACTTTTGTTCTACAGTTCCGTCCCAGTTTCTGGGAGAGGATTTGAGTACCGTGTGCAGGCGGTCGGGTCCGTCTTTTGCGACATCCAATGCACGGGCGCGCTTGTAACTAGTCTATTGCAACCGCGGTCTCCTTTTTTTCAGGGGTTGCGATTCTTGTGAACGGTGCGCGAGGCCATGCTGAAAAGTCATCGCTGTCGGCAGCGAACGTCCTTAGCCATAGTTTACCATGGTGTGAAAGCTGTCGCCCCACACCTGACACCAAGCCATGTATTTGATTGTGCTTCGAACCGCACGCGCGCATGGCTCGTACATGCTAGTGAAGTGGGTCAGGTTGTCAAGGCTCTGCTTAAACCTTCCTGTTGGTAATACATGACATGTTTCAAGCTGGTTTGCAGTCTCTTAGCCTCTTTCGGCTGCTTGGTCATGTCTGCGCGTTTCCGAGCATTACATCGTCCATCAAAATCCTGTGTTGGTCTGCCATCTGCGTTTGCAGGACCAAACACATTATGTTCGTTTCTCTTGGTCAGCAGAAGCTTCGTGTTTTGGGTGTATGCTGTCGTCGCAGAGTTGGAGGGCAGGGACAACTGTACATTAGCAGTTTTCATCCACACATATTTCATTCTTTGTTGATTTCCACCTCTCTTGTGGTGCTGTCATCGCTTTCTAAACGCGCCGTGCGCTTTCGCTTCCTCCCTTGCCCTTCACCGTTCTCTTGGTTCTCGTGCTGTTGGTGGTGCTGCTTCGACACTGCTATTGTGCTGCTGCGGCTGCTGCGGGTGGTGTGCCCGCACATTTTTTGTTTTGCGTGGCCCGGAAGCTCCAAGCAGGTCGCCAGTTGGCGCGGAGGTGAGCGCACGAGACCTCCGTTGGGCGCGCCCCTCGCGCAGTCTGTGCCCCGTTGTGGTGCGCCCCGTTGGCGGCGCTCGTGGTCACGGCAGCACGCCCCTCACGCAGCTTGCTCCGTGCAGATGGCGCCTCCTACAGCTGCGCCATCGGGGGGCGGCGGGTGGACGCGGGCTCGCCGGATGGCGGGCCTTGCCGGCGGCGGCCCGGCGGGCCCCTGATTCGGAGGCCTGCGGCGGTGCCAAGGTCGGCGGTGCGCAGATTGGGGGCAGGGTTAAGTCAGGCGTGTCCCTCTACAGGAGGAATATCCAGAAATAGTCCAAAATACTCTGGGATTTTTTTTTTGTCCAGTTTTGAATATATTTGGAATATTTTTAACTTTTCGTCCAAAATCCGCCTGTAGGGGGACATGGCAGACCTAAGGGCAGGGTGAGGATCGAGGATCGCGGAGTGGTTTTGGGACGATTCTTTTTTGTTGGGGGGATGGGGGCCTCCCGAGGGGCGCGCGCGTGGCCACGGCTGGACGCAGCTCGCAGAAATTGGCAGGATGGCCCCCCCCAGGCGTGTCCGGGGACCGGCGGTGGCAAGCGTTCGCTCGATGGAGTCGGGGCAAGGGGGGGCGTCCCTCTGAGAAAGCACCCTGCCTCCTCGGAAGGCCCCCTTGCCTTCTCATGAGCCTCCTCCGAACCCCCCCCCAGACGGGGCCGATCCCTTCAGAGAACACCCCCTGTCTTCTCGGAAGGCCGCCCCCTTCGCACCCAAGTTGCCCTTTTGTGCGCGCCACCATCCAGGGCATGGCACCGGGTCGGCCCCGGTGAGGAGCGGACGCTGGCCCCTGCGCGGGCATGGCACAGGGCAAGCGCCGCAAGATCGACACCCTGGGGCAGGGCGGCGTCGGCAACACGCTGCTCCTGCAGGGCGTGGAGTTCGCCTCGAAGGTGCCGCTCTTCTCCACGCTGGCGCCCTCGGAGCTGCCGCTCGTGGCGGGCGCCTTCTCCGTGGTGGAGTACAAGGAGGACGAGGTGATCATCAAGCAGGGCGACCCCGGCCGGGAGCTCTTCATCATCGAGAGCGGCAGGGTGGCGGTGAACGTCCAGTGGCCGTGGCTGGAGGACCCCGTGCGCGTGCAGGAGCTCGAGGAGGGAAGCTACTTCGGCGAGGAGGCGACGGGGGTGCCTCCTCTCGAGGGGTGCCGGCCGTCCACGCGCCAGGGGCCTCCCCCCTGCCGTGCCGTGCCTTCTATGCCGAGGGCTCCTCCCCACAGCCGGGCTCCCGCAGGCCTGCTTCGGGCCCCATGGGGCCCTCGGAGAGAACGGGCTCGGATGGCAGTCGGGCTCCGGGGGAGCCGGCAAGTGCGCAAAGGGGGGCGGGCGCGACGGAGGCGGCCGTCCGAGGAGGCATGGGGGGCTTCCGAGGGGCTCTCCCGCCTTCTCAGAGGCCGCCGGGCCCCTGTAAGAAGCCCCCCCCTGGCCTCTCAGAGGGCCGCTCTCCTCTTGCCATCACCAGCCGCACCCCCGAACGTGGTGGTCCGAGCTGCTAACGTCGCGGTGTCGTGGGCTGTGCTGCGCAAAGACCGAGGGAGGAGGGAAGAGGACGGAGCGAGGAGGGGAAGAGGGAGGCGGGGCCTGGCTCAACCGGTTTACTTGATTACACTCACTCCTGTTATCGAATTGTGCTCCGCGAGAGGGTCTGGGCGCCCTTGGCTCGATGGAGGAAGTAGCTAGCGCCGAGGCGAGCGCACGATTCCTGGGTAATCTGTAAGTGGGTCTCAGACGGGACCTCCATGACTCGTCATGACGTCTCGAGCCGGAGCGCATGAAGAGGGAAGGCAAAAAGAGGATGGGGGAGGAGGAGGGGAGGCAGGAGGGAGTGAGAACGGAGAACGAGACAAGGGGGAACAGGGAGGGAGGAGGGAGAGTATGAAGGAGGAGGGAGGCGGGGCCAGGATCACACAATCTGTTTGATTTCACTCCTGTCGTCGAACTGTGCTCTGGGAGAGGGGTCCGGGTGCCGCTGGGCTGAAGGAGGAGGCAGCGGGCGCCGAGGCGAGGGGACGGTTCTTGGGTAAATTGAAGGGGTGTCTCAGGTGGTAGCGACATGCTCTGATCATTCTTTGAGGAAGTCGCGAGCGGAAGCGCAGCTCCAGAGCGTGAGGGCATCCCTGGCGAGGGAGCCTTCGGAATGCGGAGGGAAGAGGAGGCGAGATGGAAGAAGAGGAGGAAGAGGAGGAGGAGGAGTAGGAGGATGAGGAGGAGGATGATGAGGAGAAGCAGGAGGAGGAGGAGGAGGAGGAGCAGAGGGATGGTGTGATGGGATTCCTCGTGATGGCGCCTCAGGGAGAGTGCATCCAGAACGAGGACGGAGGAATACGCGGAGAGGAGGGAGGAGCAAGAGGTGGAGGACGATGCATAGGAGGATGGGGGTGAGGACAGAAAGTATGGGGAGAGGAGGATCACTGCGATGATGAGGTGGGGATGGAGGCGGAGGAGGATGCGTCGGAGGAGGAATAGGAAGAACAATTGGCGGATGCTGAGGAGGATGAGGAACAGTACGGGGAGCGCGAGGAGGAGCACGGCGACAATAATGCTGAGGGGGATAAGGAAGAAGGCACTGATGAGTGACATTAGGAGGTCGAGGAAGATATGGAGTTGGATGATGACGACACTGATTACCATGATGATGATGCTGATGCTGATGCTGACGATGATGATGCGGTTGCTGATGCTGATGATGCTGATGATGGTGTTGATGCTGATGCTGATGCTTATGGCGATGCTGATGATGATGATGATGCTGATGATGATTCTGATGATGAGGATGAGGATGAGGAGGAGGGAGGAAGAGGAACACGAGGAGGATGAGGAATAATGTGATCAGGAAAACGATGAGGGGCAAGACGAGGTGCTACACGACAAGTACGATGGGTGGCTAGTATCAGGAGTATGATGATGCTGATGATGATGGTGATGGTGATGATGCTGCTGATGCTGCTGATGATGCTGCTGCTGCTGCTGCTGGGGATGATACTTATGATTATGCTGATGATGACCATTATGATGCTGCTGCTGATGATGATGACGATACCGATGCTTCTAATGATGATGATGATGCTGATGATACCGGTGATGAGGCTGCTGATGATAATGCTGATGATGCTGCTGCTGATGATGCTGATGATGATGACGATGACGATGATGATGATGATGATGATGATGATGATGATGATGATGATGATGATGATGATGATGATGATGATGCTAATGCTGATGATGCTGATTATGCTGATGATGGTGGTGATGATGATGCTGCTGATGATGAGGATGCTGATGCTGATGATGCTGATGATGATGTTGACGATGTTGATACTGATGCTGATTATGCTGCTGCTGCTGCTGATGATGATGATGATGACGATGATAATGACGATGCTGATGTTGATGATGCTGATGCTGCTGCCGCTGATGATGCTATGGTGATGCTGATGATGCTGCTGATGCTGCTGCTGATGATGATGCTGACGCTGCTGATGCTGATTATGATGACGCTGATGATGATGCTGATGCTGATGACGCTGATGATGCTACTGCTGATGATGACGATGATTCCGATTATGATTACGATGATGATGTTAGTGATGATGCTTATGATGATGCTGATTATGGTGATGCTGCTGCTGATGATGATGATGATGATGATGATGATGATGATGATGATGATGATGCTGATGCTAATGCTGATGATGCTGATTATGTTGATGATGGTGGTGATGCTGATGCTGCTGCCGATGAGGGTGCTGCTGCTGCTGATGATGATGATGCTGATGCTGATGCTGCTGCTGCTGATGATGATGATGATGATGATGATGATGATGATGCTGACGATGGTGATGATGATGATGATGATGACGATGATGATGCTGCTGCTGATGATGACGATGATGATGATGCTGATGATTATGATGATGCTGATGATGCGGCTGCTGATGATGATGATGAGGAGGAGGTTGAGGAGGAAGAGGAGGAGGATGCTAAACAACAAACTAGAAGGAGGGTGCTGCGGAGCGGGACGAGGAGAGGAGGAGGAGGAGGAGGAAGAGGAGGATGACCAGGAGCAGGAAGAAGTGGAGTGGGAGTGGGGGGCGACACGGAGGTTGACCAGCGAGGCGGAGGAGGAGGAGGAGGAAGAGGAGGAGGAGGAGGAGGAGGAGGAGGAGGACGACGACGAAGACGACGAAGACGACGAGGAGGGTGTAGGCATATTCGAGCTGTGGGACGATGATCACTTGGAGGGCGCATGAACAGTCTTGAGAGCCACTTCGTCTTTCAAACAAAGATTTGAGGATACTGCGCTCTGGTTGATTGTGAAAGTTTTATTGCTGATGCCGCCGACCCTGAAGACGATGACGACGAGAACGACGAGGAGTGAGGGGATGAGGAGCAGAAGGAGGAGGCGGAGGAGGAGGCGGAGGACGCGGTGGAGCAGCACCAGGAGGAGGGCGAGGAGGAGGAAGAGGAGGAGGATGTGGAGGAGGACGAGGAGGGGGAGCAGGGGCAGGGGGAGGAGGGGGGGGGGGAATGAGCAGTGGGAGGACGAGGATTATGGGAGTCGGAGGATCAGAAGACGGAAGAAGGAGGGCGCGGAGGAGGGGGAGGAGGAGGAAGAGGATGAGGAGGGGAAGGAGGAGGCGGAGGCGGAGGAGGAGGAGGAGGAGGATGAGGAGGAGGAGGAGGAGGATGAGGAGGAGAGGATCGAGAGGAAGAGGTCGAGGTAAGGTTGCGGAGCACCGGGGGACGAGCACGCGGGGGAGGGGGGGTAGCATGATGAAGCTGATGATCAGGAGGATGAGGATGATGAGGAGGAGGATGCGAAGGAGGAGGATGAGGAGGAGGGGAAGGGTTAGGAGGAGGAGGAGAAGGAGGATGATGATGATGAGGAGGAGGAAGAGGAGGAGGAGCAGAAGGGAGAGGAGGAAGAGCATGCGTAGGAGGATGAGGAGGGGGAGTTAGGGCATGAGGAGATCGATGAGGGTACTGCGCAGGTGGAGGACGATGAAGACGAGGCGGAGGAAGAGGAGGAGGAGTAGGAGGAGGAGGAGAAGGATGATGATGATGATGATGATGATGATGATGATGATGATGATGATGATGATGATGATGATGATGATGATGAGATGATGAGATGATGATGAGGAGGAGGAGGAGGAGGAGGAGGAGGAGGAGGAGGGTGGTGGTGGTGGTGGTGGTGGTGGTGGTGGTGGTGGTGGTGATGATGATGAGGAGGAGGAGGAGGAGGAGGAGGAGGAGGGGATGCTTGTCGGGGTCTCTTCGGAGCGCTTTCGCGGGCCTCTGGTGGGCAGTTCGTGGGCGTTTTGGGAGACTCTTTGGGGGCTTCTTGGGAGCCTCTTGGGGGCCTCCAGGGGCTTCCTGAGGGCTTCTTGGGGGCGTCTTGGAGGCCTCCTGAGAGCTTCCCGGGTGCGAGGGCCCGAGATGTCCGTTCGGGTCCCCCGTCTGGGCACCCTCTTGGAGCCGTCTTGGGTGCCTCTTGGCCTTTCTTGAAGGCGTCTCGGGCCGTCGTGGGGTCCTCTTGGGCCATGTTGGGAACCTCTTGGAGGACTTTGGGCCGTCTTGGGGCGATCTTGGGGGCCTCTTGGGCCGTCTTGGAGCGCCAGGAAGCGGAAGAGGCGAGAACGCCAAATGCTTGATACATTTCAGGGGAATGTCTGATTTTTGGCTCTTGGGGACTTCTTGGGAGTGTTCCTGGAGGCCTCTTGGGGCGTCTTGCAAGCCTCGTGGGCCGTCTAGAGGCCGTCAAGGCGTCTTGGACAGATCGTTCGGCGATTCGGGGCCCTCTTGGACCGTCTTGGGGGCCTCTTTGGGCACTCTGGGCCCGTCCTGGGGCTTTTCTGGGACCCAGGACTCCCTGAAAGGAGTCGCATCAGGGTGGCGACCCCCCTTGGATCCCCCGGAGGTGGGAGTCGTATCTGGGTGGCGACCCGCCCCGGCCCTCCCCCCCCGGGACCCCCCCTTGGGACCCCCCCCCGACAGGGGAGGCATCAAAGGGAAGGGGCTTCCCTTCGACTCAATTACGACGTTGCTCAATTTCGCTTTGGCTGGCGCGCTTGAGGAGGAGGGCCCAGGAAAAGTGGGAGCGGCGACGGGCCCAAGGAAATGGGGGTCGCAGGAAAGGCGATGACAGAGACGACTCCTAACGAATGACGGAGACGACGACTCGAATGGACAAGCCCCTCATGCACGCCGACAGGGTCGGCGGATTTTTCATGATGTCGGATGTCTGGAAGGCAGGTCCACACTTTATCGAAGACGCCTACGGCGAACCACCGCCTCCCTCTGCCTTTTGAAAAGAACGCCCGTGTAGCCAAACGTTGGGTGAAAGTCTGGTGGTGGTGGTGGTGTTGGTGGTGGTGGTGAGGAGGAGGAAGAGCATGAGGAGAAGGCGGAGGAGGATAACGAGGCCCTCTTGAGGCCCTCTTGGGGCCTCCTGCTGGCTTCCTGGGATCCACTGGGGCCTCCGAGGGGCCTTTTCGGGACCTCCTGGGGCCTCTTGGGGGCTTATTGGGGGCCTCCAGGGCCTCTAAGGGACCTCTTGGCCTTCGGAAGCCGTCGTGGGGCCCTCTCTGGGCAGTTGCGAGTCCCTCTTTGGACGTTCCAGGGCCGTCTTGGAGGTCTATGGGGCCGTCCAGAGGCCGTCTTGGGGGCCTCTTGGGCCATCTTGAGGACTTCTTGGGCCGTCATGGCCGTCTTGGAGATTTTTGGTGTTTTTCCTGGTCTTTATGTGGCTCTCTGGGTGGCCGGCGGGTTCGGCCGCGACTTTGTTGGGAGTTTGTTTACAAGCATGGACGAATTCGGCATGCCAGGCGCCCCTTCGATGAATCGAGAGGGGGCGGCGGATCTAGTGGCCTTCGGCTCATCTCGCCGCCACCGTGCTTGAGTCGTGGACACGAGTTCTCTTAGAACCCACTCGGGGTCTCCTGGGAGGCCCCTTGGGGGCCTCGTGGACGCCTTTTGAGAGTATCTTGGGGTGCTCTGGGGCCCTGTTCGGGGTCTTTTGAGGGCTCACTGGCAAGCTCGGGGGGCATCTTGCGAGCTCGAAGTGTCAGGTCGTGTTTCCCCTTGTTGGGCCCCTCCAGTGGCCGTCTTGGGGGACTCTTTGGGGGACTTTTGTGGCAGTCTTGGGGGACTCCTGTGGCCGTCTTGGCGCGAGCTTTGGGGCCTCATGGCTATCAAACCGAAAAGCCACGTCTCCCAGCATCAGTAAAAACCAAACGTGTTTCAATGATTTTTGATTGGCCCATTTCGGCCTGTCCCCAAGGCCTCCAGAACGGCCCCAGATGCGCCTACGAGGGGACGGGCGCTGAGTTTATCTTAGGCCACGTTCGAAATATGGAACCCCAGTCACGCCTCCGAGGCCTTGGAAAAAGTCATGAGAGCCGACCTGAGAGCGCCCAAGTTCGTCTAACAGCGCGCGGAACTCCAAGCGCTGGGACCTTCAAAGGAGTATTGCGAAGGCCTTACGGCCGGTGCCGCCGACCCTGAATGGCGACGACGACGACGACGACGACGACGTGCGCTCTTGGGGGCCTCTTGGGGGTAGTTTGTGGGCCTCTTGGGAAGCTCTTAGGGCCGCTTGGAAGCCTCGTGGGGGCCTCTTGGGGCTTCCTGGGGGTCTCTTGAAGGGAGCCTGGGACGTCTTGGAGGCTTCTTGGACGGTCTTGGGGCTATCTTGGGCGTTTTCGGCCGATCTTTGGGCGACTCGGGGCCCTCTTGGGCCGTCTCGGGGGCCATCTGGGGCATTCGGACCTCATTTGGAGTGTTTTCGAGGTTTCTAGGCCGCCCGAGGAAAAACGAATCTGCCCCCCCACCCCCCCCGGGACCCCCCCCGGGACCCCCCCCGGGACCCCCCCGGGACCCCCCCCGGGACCCCCCCCGGGACCCCCCCGGGACTGGGGAAGGGGCTTCCCTTCGACTCGATTACGACACTGCTCGATTTTTCTCTCGCTCACGAGCTTGAGAAGGAAGCTGCAGGGAAAGGGGACGACGGAGGCGACGACCGACGGAGACGACGACTCGAACAGCCAAGCCCCTCGCACACGCCGACAGGGTCGGCGGATTTGCTATGCACAATGCAGAGAATCCGAAGGGATCGGAGGAGACTCCAATCAGTGCTCACGGCACGGTGGTGAATATCGGCCACCATTTTCGAGTTGTTGCGCTTTGTTGTGCGGTGGTTCTGAGTCACCGCCGCAGGAGCAGGAGGAGTTTTATTGCTCAGGTCTTTCAGGAAGTGCAGAGATGTGGGGCCCTCGTTTGCAGCGGGGAGGATAAAAGGGGGAGCCCAGGCCTTGCTCAGTGGAGCTCCGCGCAGTGCCAGCCTGGTGGCGCTGGAGGAGCCCAGCATGCTGGAGGGTGGGGAAGGGATATAGATATGTTTATATTAGTGTGTATACATAAACATATATTGGCCCGTATATGGGCGTTGGCCTATTCCCCCACCCGTTGTTTTTGAAGGTTTTGTTTTTGTCCGTTCGACTGAAAGTCACGATCGCATAATAGAAGGCATCACATCCAGCGAGGGCAGCCAGCAGGAGGTTGCGTCGATGATAATATTGAGGGGATTTTTTTGGTGCAGGGATCCCTGTCTCGATCTCGATGCGCAATCAGAGAGGAATGCGGTGGTGTACGCGAACGGCCAGCAATTGGCGCAGCGCAGTGTACATGAACCTGCTTGTGATGCTTGCCAATCGAGTCTCCATGTGGTGGTTTCTAAGGTATTCCTGTTGAGATGTTTTCCAACAGGAACCCCTTTGCGGCGCGTTCCAAAGGATTTCCATTGTGCGGATTTCCCGTCGAATCCCTTTGTGGTGCTTGCTACAGGATCCTTGTTGCGAGGCTTTCCAATCGAATCTCTGTTTGGTGTTTTCCAAAGGAGTCCTGCCGTTAGGTTTTCCAATCGAATCTCTTTGCGGCGCTATCCGAAGGATTCTTGTTGTGAGACTTCTCGATTGAATCCCTGTTCGAGGCTTTCCGATGTATTCCTTTTGGTGCGTCTTCCCAATCGGAATTCCCAGTGGTGTTTTCTAAACGGTTCTCTGGTGTGAGGCTTTCGAATCAAATCCTTTTGTGGTGCTTTCCGATGGTTTCCGTTTTGTGCGGCTTTTCAATAGGAGCCCTTTAGTGGCGCTTTCCAATTCAATAGAATCCTTGTGTGGTGCTTTCCAGGAGGATTCCCTGTGTCGCGCTTTCCAAAAGGAGCCCGTCGTAGCGTTTTCCAGAGGATTCCTCTTGTGATGCTTTCCAGTAGAAGCCCTTCGTGCTGCTTTCCAGGGGATTCCTGTTGTGAGGCTTCCAGTACAACCCCCGTGTGGTGTTTTCCAACAGATTCCTGTTGCGAGGCGCTCCGATATAATCCCTTGGTTGTATCTAGAGGATCTCTATTGCGAGGCCGTCCGATAAAACTTGCTAGACTATTTCCAGATAAGGGTTCCAGTTGTTTGTTCCGACAGAACCCTTCTGGGGTGCTTTCCAAGGGATTCCAGTTATGATTGTTTCGAGCAGAATGCATGTTGTTGGACAGAGCTTTCCAACAGGGTTCCTGTTGTGATTCCATATAATGGAATCCTTGTGTAGCTCCCTGTGTAGCACTTCGCACAGTGTTCCAAGCCGTGGGCTTTCCAATCAAAGAATTTGCGGTGCTTTCCAACGGTTTCTTCTTGTGATGCTTCCCAATAGAAGCCCCCAGCAGTGCTGTCTACATGGTTTCGTTCTTGATGCTTCACAACCGGATCCTTTTTGTAATGGTTCCGAGGGGATTCCTGTTGCGAAGCCATAGGAACCATGTGGGGTGTTATCCGAAGGATTCCTGTTGCGGGCGCTCCAACACAACCTTTCTTGCCATATTAGCGGTTCTTTGTTGTGAGGCTTTCCGATACAGTCTTTCAGATCCCTTTCCGCAGGATTCCACTTGTAAGGTTTTCCCCACAGTCCCTCTGGAGCGCTTTCGAAAGGATTCCAGGTATGACTGTGTGTAACAGAATGTGTGTGTAGCGCTTTCCAACAATTCCCTGTTGTGAGGCCTCCTCCTCCTCCTCCTCCTCCCCCTTTGGGGGGGGGGAGTTTTGTTGTTGTTGTTGTTGTTGTTGTTGGTTTTTGTTTGGCGCCCCCCCCGACCCAGCACCAGCAGTAGAGGGGGCGAGGGATCCCGCACTTGATCACGAACCAGAGACATGGAGGTTCGCATAATCGAGGTTGCCATCACGCGGTCAACTCGGCGAGGTTCGCACAGCGAGGTTCACAACCACAAAAGAAACGGGACGAACACGACAACACACAAACCTTCGAAACACAACGGATGAAGGCATAGGCCAGGACTCATATATACATGTATATACACATACACAGGCACATATCGATGTCAATGTATGTACCCACATGTAATCTATCTGAAGACTTGGCCGAGAGTGACCGATATATATATGTATATATATATATAGTACACATAGACACACAGGCGGTACACATGCGAACTATGTGTGCGCTGCTGTGGATATATACATAGGAGGAGAGGGAGAGAGCGAGAATCGGAGGGCGATGGGTACGTAGTACAAGGCCACGTGGTGCTCATGTCGTTTCAGCATTCCATGATGACTCTCTTCTCGTTGGCTCGCGCGTGCAGGAGATGGTACAAGACAGGCCGGCTGATACAGAAAGAGAGAGGGAGAGGGATAATGAGAGAGGGAGCAGAGGAGGGCGCACACAGGGCAAACCATAAGACAGAAGGGACACCAAGCCACCCTGTCCGACAGCCCGTTCTGGCACTCACGCGCGCTGAACCCATGCCCCCTGTCGTGCCTCCTCCCGCGCTCGCGAAAGCCAGCCCTATTCAGCCTCCCCACGCTCGCTAGACCGTCCAGAGTAGGCGTGCGAACATCGTGGACGCTGTTCTGGCCTCTGGCGCGGAGCTCGGGGCACTGACGCCACGATTCGGCACCCGCCTCGACTCCTCGCTCTCCCCCTGTCCAGGGCGCGTTCGGGATGGCGTGCGTGCAGGCTGTCGCTGTTGTTCGTTGCACATAAACGAGGCGGTGACAACGGCAGTGGCCAGCTGCGCACTGGCACTGATCCTGGTCGGGTCAGCCCAGGCCCAGAATCGGTGTAAACGCCTTCCGGCTTGGCAGGGCCACCTGCGATCCGATTCGATGCGGTTCGATTCGCCACCTTTGGCCGCGATTCCGATTCAGTTCGATTCGGTTCGATTCGATTATTCGGCATCGGCTGGGGCCAGCCCGAGCCAGGCTGCGGCGATCCGCTTTAGATTCGATTCGGGACGATTCGCTGGTGATCCGACCCGTTTCCGATCCGATGCGCTTTCGCGATTCGCTCCAGCTTGGGCCTGTCAGGCCTCGAGGTCGTATGTGCCGATCCTCGGCCCAGGATTGGCCCTGCCAGGATCGGTGCACGTGCACAGTCGGTGCCCACCTCGAGTTTCAGGAGGGAAAGAAACACACAGACACAATAAATCGGCGATTCCCCAGAAAATACGGGAACATATGGGAAGTGGGGGGGAAGACAAAAACCCAGAAAATATGGAAAATATGGGGAATCCTGTTATCTGTGTGTATTTATTTGTGTGTCCCAGGGCCCCTTCAGAGTTGTCCTCTCTCCTGCCGGCGGGCTCAGGACTGCAAGCTGTGGGTGTTGGAGCGTTCGGACTTCGAGAACCTGGGCCTGCGGCACAGGCCTCGCCCTCGCCATATAGGGGGCAGGGGGGCGGTCGTGTCCAGTGCTGGTGTGCGGTGTCGCCGCTGCTGCTGCGGCTGCGACGGCCGAGGTCGTCAGTGATCATCACGACCCCTCCTCCTGTCGGCGGCGAGCGAGGGGGGGGGAAGGAGAAGGAGACGGCCTTCTCAGAAGGCGGCGGGACTTCTCAGAAGCCCTCGCGCCTTCTGAAGAGAGGAGTTTTCTGTGTCTTCGGGGAAGGCTTGGAAAGCTTCTCAGAAGTCCGGGGGGGCTTCCGAACCTTCCCAGAATGCCCGCCCCTTTCTCACTTCCCTCGCTGGCTCGCCGCCTATCCCAGGACCTTGGACTATCGCGGAAGGCCGCTCGATGAGCGAGCGACTTCGTCAACGTGTGGCGTTGACCGTGACGATGGATGGCCTCGCGAGGGCGGTGGGGTCAAACACAATAGCTGGACCAATCCTCCATACAACTGCAATATTTCTCAGAGCGGCGAATCCGTGGAAGAACTGGCACAGTGCACAGAAACAGCAGAAGAGCCACTCTCAACCGACAGCGGCGATGGTAATGGTAAACTTATTCACAAAAGGATCTGGCCCTTCGGATGGTTCACAAGGGGACCTGGCTCCGAGGGCCTCAAGATTCTCGCAGCCACCTCAATTGCCAGGACAAGGAGGACAGGCACCAAGCGGCATGCCCAACACGATCTATCACAGCCGTTATCCCAACTTGATGTGTAAGTCTGTGGCAGATTTACGGCCATGCTGACATCGTCTGGCAACTTTCATTTGAATACTCGGATCCTCTTCAGAATGGGCTGGTCCACGGCGCACAATTTGCTGTTTCATAACACTGTAGGGTACGCCTGGTGAGTACAGAGCATAGCGAGTGCACAGAACTGTTCTACCAGCCCAAATCATTCGTGGCCCAACGTTTTCAACATGTCGCCGACGGCTGCAATCAGAGAGCGATCAACTGTAGGTTCCGCATGATGCGCAATTCTGGACCAACAACTCAGGGCCACACATGCCGTCTGCACTCTCCAACGCTTCAAAAATCACCCCGCACGCACTCCGCCCTGTTTCGAACGCAAGATGTACCACGGCAACTTGTGAAGAACACATCCGCCTGTCTGCGTTGAGGCGCCGCAGGCGTGCAACGGCGTCGCACACCCCATTGTAAGTTATCCGTTTAAGCTATCATGCGAGCATAGCAACTGCAATTCCGTCACTTCCATTGCAGACCCTTGACCTGAAGACCAGCAAGTGTTGGTCTACACAACGGGTCCTTCGGTGCAGTCACTTTCTGAGGATCGGGTAGTGTGTCTGCCCACAGCTGGTTGAAGTAACCATCACACCCCAAGGTGGGGAATGTTGTCATCAATTGGTTTTCGGCGAAAGCAAGTCACATGAGCCATCAGGTATGCCGTTGTCTTTAGCACCCGGCTTTGCGACACCAGCCTAATCTGTCTCGGCGCCCAACCAAATCCAACCTTCTGCGTACGTAGCCGTACCAGCTGTCACATGGTCAAGGTGGAGATGAGACAGATACCGACCTAATCTAGGAGAGGTTGCTTTGTTCAGCGAGGCCATGGTCTGTTTCCGCCGCGCAATCGTGGGAATCCCAACGCGTTCCGTTTTGCGCCAGGGCGTGCAAATCCGTGATGTTCGTCTCAAGGTTGACGATCTACTTGAAGGCATCGACGATGCAGTTACGTTCGGCTGCTCCGATAGTTGTTGTCGCCCTGGAAGCTCAGCGTACAGGGCTACCATAAGGATACATCTCAACATGCCCCGTTCACATCCGCGATTATCGAGAAAGCTGGAAGGAAGCGCTGACCTATCTGCGAATAGCCTTCTCTGTTGCCAGCATGATCGGTATTCCACTCTCCTTTTACGTGAACTGGAAGCTCGGCTTCTGGTGGCGGTGGTGACTTCGGCAAGTGCGGTAGGCCAGCGCAGAGCTCAAACAAATCCAAAGGAATTGCTGGATGCACGAGCGTTTGATGTGGCAGCATTGTTTCACGAAGCTTGTCCAACTTTTCAAGCATGCGCTGTTCCTGTGGCCTTCCTCCCCATCCGAAGGCTTTGAAGCAGCTGCTGCACATATGTAACACCAATGGCCAATCCTGATTGCCACATGCTCACCATGATATACTCGGCATAATCCCATGATCGTAGAGTTGTGTGTCAGTCCAAGGAGAGCCTGAGCACAGCGACCTGACAGCACTAGCAGCGACTGGATCGTGTACTGTAGCCTGCTTAGCACCAAAACGCATTCATAAGCACCCTGGCCGAAGCTTATTGGTGCTCTGTAACATGTGTCGCATTTGCCAATTCTGCACACCAGCGGGTAAAAGATCACGAGCCAGAGCAGGCGCTACCGTAAGTAACGAACGGCGACAACCGTGTTGGCGTAAACCACCGCGGAGGAGGCCATCTGCCAATTGATGCGACAGAAAGACCGTGATAGCATTACTAGAGGACCTCGCCTGCTGCCAAGGAACTTCGAACTTTACCAATTCATTCCAAGCCCGCTTTATCTGTCCCAAGCTTTGGGATTGCTCCAAACTGATACGAGTATTGGCAATTATATATATATATATATATTAGGTTGTGGCGTCGAACACTAGGGCTGGGTAGCCAAGTACAACGTAATGCCAGCAATGCGCTGTGGTTAGTTAGCCCACGAGACAGGCACCATTTTAGTGAAACAGCCTCAACTCGACGTCGGTGACCTCTCTGACCATAGCACCGTGACCACCAGAGCGAAGCATACCAGAACACCACGACGCACATATTTCAAGTCCAACCGTTTGTTGAACCAAATTATGCGTTTCAGTATTGTCTCGAGTAACTTTCGCTGAGCTGGATCCTGGACATGCTGCACGTGAGTACAATGTAACTCATGCCTTAGTTACGCATCGCCTTCAGAGCGGGGATCTCACAGGCTGAGTACTGCGAGACTCACGAATGCCCTCGACGATACTGGGTACGAAACTTGACTTGCTCAGCTGGACCAAGCTCGTTGACGTTCCGAGTCAAAACGTTCAACGCTTGCCATACACTGCGAATTGTTCGAATGCCACGGCCACTCCACTGCGCCGAGGTATCCTCACCAAAGCACGAGGAATAAGATCTCTGCGGCTCATGATGCGAAGCGCTGACGCGGTGAGGGCTGTGAGCATGGTTGCGGAATGGCTACGCCCCTTCATGAGACCTTGATGTGAGGTAGACTGTCTGGAAGACGACCCACACGCCTTCGGCGTGCGCAGTTGCATCTGGTACTGGATGACCGTCCAAGTGAGCCGGTTTGGAAATCTGGCTTCGTTATTTGGAGGGCTTCGCCTTGTGCCGCCGCCCCCCCTCAGATTGCTCGCGTGGTCACGATTGGTTGGTAAGTTGGTTGGCTTTCTTGTTGGTGGGCTGGCTGGCATCTCGGCTGATCTGCTCATCGCCTGAGCTGCTAATGTTCAACGAGCGCGTTCCACTACTCGCAAAGTGCATGCTCGCAAACGTCCGGCACGCATCCTGCATTCCTCGACGTGATTTAGCGTAGATCCCCCACGGCGGATCCAGGCCATCTGCGAGTAGTTACTTTGCGAGTAGTGGAGCGCGCTCGTCTAAGTGTGCCATCGATTCGGGCCGTTTTGCTGGCCGGCTGGCTGCTCGCGTTTGTCATCGTTACTGCGAGCTGGCAGCCTCGGGAGCGCGCTTCCGTTGTAGTGTGCGAGCGTTCGAGGCTTCGGGAGCGCACGCCCCTGGCTATTTACGAGGATCCTCGTGCCCCCTCTGCAGAAGCCGTGCTTCGCGAGGGTTTCAGAGAGCCCTCGCCTCTGCCCAGGTGCAGTGCACGATCCCAAGAAGTGTGCCGCGCTCATCTGTGGTCGCTCCAGAGAGGCAGCTTCCAAGCTCAGCTCAATGTGGTTTGGCTTCGAGCGTCTAGTCTGAAAAGACGCTGGTGTAGTTGCTGAAGGTGGTCTAGGAGAGCTTTGCAGACGCGGCACCCATGCTCAGGAGGGGCCGTTGAGTCCACTCTCTCTCTCTCTTTTTCCCGTGCTCTGTCTCTTTCTCTTTTTTTTTCCTTATCTTCCTCTTTCTCTTTCTCGTCCTCTTACTCTTCCCCTTTCTCTTTCTCCTTCGCCTTATCCTTCTCTGTCTCTTTCTCTTTCTATTCATCTTTCTCATTCTCTTTCTATTCCTTGCTCTCTTTCTCTTTCTCTTTCGCTTTTCCTTCCTCGCTATATATGTATGTGTATGTATATATATATATATATGTATGTATATATATATATATATGTATGTATATGTATGTATGTATATATATATATATATATATGTATCCGTATCCGTAAGGGCTTCGCCCCCTCCAGTTTTCTCTCTCGGATAATGGGCAATGCAAGAGCGAAATCATGAGGTCTTGGCGCCGCCGTGAAGCAGCGTCGCGGCTTCACGCGGAGACGATGAGTAATCGGCAAGACAAGTTGAGATTCTGATGAGATTGTTGAATTCGGTGTTGCATTTCGAGATTGCTCGCGTATGCTGTGCAAAAAGCTTTTTTTACGAAGTATTGTAATGTGGCAAATCCCATGTGTTTTTTGACCCTGACCCCGCCGATCTGCGTGAGGGGTGCCACCGAATTTCACGAAATGTGGCAAATCCCATTGGTTTTTGGACTCTGACCCCGCCGATCTGCGTGAGGGGTGCCGCCGAGTTTCAGAACTGTGGCACATCCCATTGGGTTTTGGACCCTGACCCCGCCGATCTGCGTGAGGGGTGCCGCCGAATTTCATAATTGTGGCAAATCCCATTCGTTTTTCGACCCTGACCCCGCCGATCTGCGTGAGGGGTGCCGCCGAATTTCAGAACTGTGGCAAATTCCAATGGTTTTTTGACCCTGATCCCGCCAATCTGCAAGAGGGGTGCCGCGGAATTTTAGAATTGTAGCACATTCCATGTGTTTTTCGACCCTGATCCCGCCAATCTGCATGAGGGGTGCCGCCGAGTTTCAGAACTGTGGCAAATTCCCCGCCGATCTGCGTGGGGTGTGCCGCCGAATTTCAAAAATACGGCAAATCCCATTAGTTCTTTGATCCTGACCCCGGCGATCTGCGTGAGGGGTGCCACCGAATTTCAGAAATGTGGCAAATCCCATGTGTTTTTGGATCCTGACCCCGCCGATCTGACCCCCCTCAGAGATTTTGAGAACCTTCCCAGGAGACGCTAGGTTTGCTGGCTTTCGGCCTCCCCCCCCCCCCTTGCGCGGTATTCAACAAGGAACAGTGAGCAGCATAAAACAAGACTGTAACAGTGGAAACTGGAAACTGGAACTGGTGCAGGGAACAGCAAACCCTGGTCCTACAGCCTGCTGGCCCCACAAGAGGGTCGGCGGATATCTTTGTTATCTCTTCCTATCTCTCTTCCTCATTCTCTTTCACATTATATTTATCTTTCTCTTCCTTTCTCTCTCTCTCTCTATCTCCCTTTGTCTCTTCATCTTCTTTGAACTCCTCCGCCTTGTCGGGGGGCTAACTGCAACAATAGGCAGTATGCTTCGGCCTGGGTGATCAACGCAGAGGTCTTCCCGGTCCAGAAGAGCGTCTGGAAGGAAGCGGGGGACTACTATTTGGAAGGGGCCACAAGCTTGGCGGCTGCAGCCGCGGCGTGCAGCCTTCTCATCGCACTTATTTGCCCTTTCGTGCGTATGCCCCGCTGGATCGATCGGCTTGGCATGACGAACGGTTCGCCTGCCGGCCTGGTGCAGTCGCAGAACGTGCAGGCGAAGAGGCGCCAGCTCGGCCAGGGCAGCTCGTAGAGCTCGGCTTGGCCAGGGCATGCAGGCGCAGGCATGGCGTGATTTTGGGATTGCTGTAACCAAAAGGGTCAAATGGTCCGCCCTGTCCCCCCTCCTGGAGGCTGCACTTCAGGAAGAAGCAGGCCGTGCACATGGGAAGCACCGACGAGGAGAACGAACATGCCGACTACCATGAGGACTGCCGCGGGGAATGGGAGGAGGAGGAGGAGGAGGAGGAGGAGGAATAATAATAATAATAATAAGACGAATAATAATAATAATTACAATAAGAATAATAATAACAATAAAAAGAATAATGATAATACTAAGAAGAAGACTAATAATATTAATACTAATAATAATACTAGTAATACTAATAAGAAGAAAAATAATAAGAAGACGATCAGTCATAGTAATAAGACTACGAATAAAGTAATAAGACTAATGATAATAATACTAATATGATTAATAATAATAATACTAATATTAATGATAATAAGAGGAATAATATTAATAACAATAATACTACGAATAATACGAATATTAATAATAAGACGAATACTAATAGCACTAATAATAATACTAATAATAAGAATAATAGGACAAAATCAACATACTAATCAGAACACATCATTCTAATAATAATAGTAATAATAACACTAATATTAATAATAAGAATAATGATGATCATAATAATAATAATTATACTAATAATAATAAGAATAATAAGAAAAATACGAATAATAATAAGAATAAGAATAATAATAATAAGAAGAAGAAGAGGAGGAGGAGGAGGACGAAGAGGAGGACGAAGAGGAGAAGGAGGAGGAGTGGGCACGTGGCCTGGCAGGTGCAGCATTCCGTGCAGACAGCGCGATCTGAGATAGCTCGGACATGACCACCTGTGTACACGTCACTGCGCGCAGGCCCCTCCCTGGGGTGTGCGGCGTGAGCCTGGCCAGGTCTTTCCTCCTGCCGTTCTCGTACCAGAGGGTTCCAAACGCAGCTTTTTGGGGAGGGGGTTTTCCAGAGAGCCCTCCAGGTGCCTCGGAACCTCGTCAAAACAGGGGGTGCGAAGCCCCTAGGGGACCCCTCCTGGAAAGCCCCCTCCCCCAACACTCGCTTTGGAACCCTCCAGTCGTAGGCCAGGCTGCGTTGGCTCGCAAGAAGGCGAGCCTGCAGTGTACGAACCATGCTCCCTAGGTCACCCGTGGAGGCGCGAGAAGATAGCCTCGCTTCGCGCAGCTCTCCTGGCCAGGCCGGCAGGCGCTGCCCGCCCAGATCTGGGCGCAGAGAAGTGGCCCGGCGGAGGCCTGATGGGAGTGGATATTGTCCTCTTGCCCGGAGGAGGACGCTCCAAGAGGCCCTCCAGGAGCCGCCAAAAGGCTCCAAGACGCCCCAAAGTACCTCGAAGAGTTCAGGGCAGCTCCGCTGGGCATCGTGCCCGGATGGGCCAGTGGTGCTGGGACTGTTTCCCACCACCACCACCACAAGTTGGAGGGGGGGAAGGAGGAGGAGGAGGAGGAGGAGGAGGAGGACGAGGACGAGGACGAGGAGGAGGAGGAGGAGGAGGAGGAGGAGGAGGAGGAGGAGGAGGAGGAGGAGGACCCCTTCCCCCTCCAACCTACGGTGGTGGTGGTGGAAAACAGGCCCATTAAGTGGGGATTTTTGTTGCGCAGGCGCACGGTGCGAGTCGGACGCCGGGCAAGCAGGGGCAGGCTGTGCCGCCTGCGCAGGCAAACACAGGGCTTGCGAGCAGCGCCGGGGCGAGGCGGCACTCCGCGCGGCCAGAGTGGCGCGAGCGGGGTGGAGCGGCACCAGAACCACGAGGTTCGGAGGTTGATAGACCTCCTACCCTGACACGTCGATTAGTGAATCGGCCGTTTTCGGTTCGCGAGAGGGCGTCGCGGCCGTCATTTTTGCGGGTCCAGGTCCGTCGGTTCCGGTCCCGGGCCGTTTTCACTAAGGGGAGGTTTACTAAAGGGAGGTTTGTCCACCGCCGAGAGGTAGGTGCCGAGCAGGAAGCCGAGCGAGCGAACCCAGAGTCGACAGTGGATGGGCCAACGCAGCTCCAGGATTAAGGCGGGCCTTTCCCTCTACAGGAGGAATCTTCAAAAATAGGCAAAAAACAGTCGGGGGACTAGTTTTTGACTATTTTTGACCATTTTGGAGATTTTTCGGGGGGATTTTTTATTTTTCGTCTGAAATCCCCCTGTAGGGGGACATGCCCGACCTAACTCCAGGATGGCCGTGACGCGAGGCCCATCCGTACCCCAGGCAACCATGTCGAACAAGCAGTCCATGCAGGCGAAGGCGAGGCGGACGCCGTGCTTACCCAAGTTGGGTGGAGGCGGCGAACCGGAGCGCCAAACGTGCCGCACAGGAAGGTCTTGAGGGGAGGAGGACCATGACGAACAGGTGGGACATGGGAGGAGAACCGGGATGCCGAGAGGTAAACGACCTCGAGGCATCGAGTGGGCGATATCCAGCACCGCGTAGAGGGCCAGAAAGGGAAGGCCAGTGGGGATTTTGGATCGCGACCGCGGCGAGGCAGAGTCGGGCGGCGTCCAGGATATTGCACACAGGCAACGACCTAAATTAGCGCAACGGAAGAGGAAGGCGAAGAGCAAATAACAATAACGAGCAGGAGAGACGGTTAGCAGGCGAACCTCACTGCCGCTGAGAAGAGCGCCGGCACCAGGAGGAACTTCTGGGCGTCGTTCAACACCAATTCGAGAAGCCCACGATCCAGATGCGGAAGATCGTCGTGACGAGCAGCACGCCGTGGACAAAGCCAGGAACCATCGCATGACGGCGACCCTCGACACGATAAAGGGGCAGGGCGTGTGGGCGCTCAACGGAAAATCCGGATCGCCAAACACCAAGTGGTGCGGAGGGGCGGTGGGGTGCCGTGGGAAGCCTGGATCCAGCAGCGAGGCGGAGAAAGGCCAGAGGCCCGATCGCCGGGAGACGCCAGAAATGCTCAGAAGCGGCGGCCGGCAGACGCCCAGGGGCGCGAAGCGCGACCCATGGAGGGAGCGACGAGGGGGACGACCGGGTGTCCGTCAACCCCATGCGGGACGAGGCGGCAGACTCAATGCGAGGCGCACGCCCACCAGTGGGGATAATTTTATTGGTTGGCGGCTCCGAGGCGGCGGACAGGGAGCGGTCAAGTTAGTCGGGGGCGCGGTGCCAACGAATTGGCGCGAGATTGCCGCAGACTCCAGCGGACAACGCACGCAGTGGCGCATGCACATGCCAGGGGCAAAATGCCCCTCACTGAGACGCATTTCAGCATCTGCTAATGACCGGCCCAGACAGCCCTGCTGGTGGGGAAGCAAAAGGCGCGGCAACCGGCAACGGAACGGGGGGGGGGAAGTCGCCCTAGCGGCGCCAAGCTCCAGCCGAACCGCAATTAGAAGCGAGGCCAAGACGGACAGCAAGGCACTGTAAAGGCCACGGGCAGAACGCGAGTCCGAGTGGCCAAAGACCAGGCGGGACCCACGTGTGTGCACACAGAGCCAGGCCGTCCAAGACCTCGGAAAAAGGGGGGTGAGCGCGAGCGAGAGCAACTTACTTAGACTCACTGCAGCTCCACGAGCATACGATGGTGCGGCGAGGGAGACCCGACTCACCAAGGTTCACTGAAGCTGAGGTGTGGCTGATCCGCGACAGAACGCCATCCAGTAGAGGCAGACCACTCCAGTGGGGATCATTTTTGATTGGCGGCTCCAAGGACAGTTCCAGAGAGCGGGGCGGTCTCGGCTGGGGCACAGGGCGAGATAATTAGCTGCAACGGCGCATAGGCCGCGGCAGCGGGTTCACGTGCCAGGGACAAATTGACCCTCATTACGACGCAGGCGATTCGAAATCGGGGAACGCAGGCGCCAAAGAAAACGGACGGAAGGAGCAGTCGCACACGTGGCGCCAGCTCAGACCGTACCGAACAGCTCGCAAGGGCCTGGAACCCGCCGCGCAGTGGCGGCGCGGAGGGGCCGGGGTGGCCGCGCCGTCCAGCACGAAGAGGAGGCCAAGGAACAGGAGAGGCACGGCGGGCGCGAGGGCACGCCGCGGCAGGAGAAGGGGGGAACAGGTGGAGGCCTTACTCACAAGGACTCATAGGATGCACTTGGGCATGGGCGACCGTCCTATTCAAGGAACTGGCGGCCCTGTCTTCTGAGTCCACGGCCTGCAACTTGCCTGGCACTGAAAGTCGGGGGGGTGCAGCTGCAAGCGCTGGTCGAGTCCCCTGGGCCACCGTGCGGGAGGGCCGGGACGAACTGCCAAAAGATAAACCACTCGTGCAGTAGCTAGGACTCGAGGGCGACGCCCGTCGTGGGAAGCGAGTCGTCGTCTTCGTCGTCGGCGTACAACGCGGGTAACTTATCCGTCTCAGGGGGCGGGGGCACAAAGTCGCGAGCGTCAACCGAGGTAACAGGGGCGGACCTGCCGGGGGGATCCGCGTTGACCTGCCAAAGGATGAACCACTTGCCAGGAATACGCTCACCCCAGGTCCGGCCTCAGGTGGTGCCGAAGCGGGGAGGCGTGCAGGTCTGCACCTTGCCGTAGCCCAGCACCTGGAACGCCGCGAGCCACGCCATGTCCTCGCGGGCGATCTGCGCCCCGTCGCGGGGGCTGGAGGATCCCCTTCCTGCGGGGTCAGACTGTCGCTGACCATCGCTGTCCAGATCACTCCTTGGCAGCCACTGCCGTCAGTGCGCTCCTCGGGGCCCTGCCAGTGAGCCCTTGCGATGCCCATTGTTGTCCAAGTCGCTCCACGGCATCAGGCTCTGTAAGGGGGCGCAGCCAGAGCCGCAGTATCGGGTGGATCTGGATGGGTAGGGGGGGCCCGAGCGGCACTGCCCGCCGTATCAGCACAGAAGGATGAGGAGGAGGAGGAGGGGGGGCGCAGCCGCGAGCCGCACAAAGAGGCAGCACCAATGTCGATGCTGTGTGGTAGGAGTCACCTCTGTGATCCCTCCACCGCTCCCTGTGGAGGGTCTTCAGTGGCCGCGGGGGGAACGGCGCGCCAGTCCTCTGGTGGGGGGGCTGCCCTGTCACCTGCCCAGAGCAGCACAGCCTGGAGAATGTACGTGTCGGAGTCACCTCTGTGATCCCTCCACCGCTCCCTGTGGGGGGTCGTCAGTGACCGCAGGGGGGGGAACGTCGATCCAATGTCGGAGTCGCCTCTGTGATC